TACTTGTAAACAGCGTGTTTCCTGACGGACACACACAGTGTGACTCCGGTCAGGTAGAGACCGGTCTCAAGTCAGCACCGCTGCAGACTCGCTGTTTGAAGGCTTGATAGCCCACTCCCCCGCCACACCGCTCCACACTCGTAGGCGGACCCTCCGCGTGAACGCGCAAACGAAGGGGTAGGGTGTAGGGGGTGGTTTGGGAATGGGCCGTCCTGTGTCCGCTCCAGTTTGTTCGGCCAAAAGGTCCTCGGGGGAAACAAACACTGACCAAAGAAGGTTCCGGGACGAACCAAGTGGCGAGATGGGCGTAGGGGTTTCTGTTTTAGTTGGGAATGTATTTTTATTTATTATGCTCAGTTATAATGTGGGTTTTGGATTAAATTAACAGATGGCTATAAATCACTAATCATGCCTGCACATAATATTATAGATATTCGTTATAACCATTATGATGAAATGTGTATTTATTATAAATTACCTGTGAATGGTTTCTCCCAATAAGATCCTCTATAAAAGAGCCAGTCTTCAGTCGGAGGGAAGTGGTGAACACCTACATGCTGGCTGGCTGTTCTCTTGTGGTGTTTGCTAAATAAAGTCACAATGGTTTGCAACTATACCTCCTCTCGTTCTCGATTCTTTCCCTGGAAATCCAGCCGTTAAAGGTTCGCTGTCTGACATGCCCTATCGGATTATTGTATTGCAGTTGTTTGTGTTTTGATTAAAAGTGTTTTTGTAGCTCCCACCTATGGAGCAGACTGTAGTACCCTTCATTTCGTTTACTTTTTCGAGACAGCTGGATGTCAGTTGTGCTCATGCTTATTAGGTTTTTAATGCAAAGCACTTAAAATTAAAGTTAAATTAATCAAATTTGGGGATTTTGCTCTACTCAAACTGTGGTACGCCACAATGTGATTGTTGTTGCCGAGTTGATTGATTTTCTATGATTTATATTGATGCTACAGAATGCTGGGTTGGCCATAGTGGTGTCTCATTGAACATTTTCCCACTATATTCTTTGTCTTAGGGAATGTGACTCACAATATTTTATTGTGAATTTGAGAGCAGTTGCCCAATTAACCACTATCGCTTAGGTTAACAAACATAATACCTTCATCAGTTTTTTTTAATTGCAGGGTCATTTTTAAATATGTTTAATTGATAACCTGATTATTGCCAGATTGTTTTCCATATGTTTTAACTAAGCAATTAATCAAGTAACACTTACATGAAACAGTGGAAAGAATGGCATGTTGTAATCTATAGCCAACTTATATTTAATATTTTAACTTGATAGGGTGAATTTTATGACATTAAATATGAATGTCTTCCGTTGTTTCTCCCATCAGTATAATAATAACCCCCTGTCTGCCTCTCAGGTATGTGACTCACCTGATGAAACGCATCCAGCGCGGTCCAGTCCGAGGAATCTCCATCAAGCTGCAGGAGGAGGAGAGAGAGAGGAGAGACAACTACGTCCCAGAGGTATGTGACCCCGTCTCTTTTGGTTTCTGAGTGTTTCCTGCAGGGGTGGGCGATCCCCTGTAAACAAGCTATACCACATCAAGTGCATTCCAGTTAACGCCCACCCCTAGGCTCATAGGAAATACAAATGTTTTTGGTTTGAAAACTCACAAAAATCGTACAGGTTTTGTAAGTGGTTTGATTGATAATGATTGGTATTACTGACAGTCTAAACACTTTTTTTTAACTTCATGTCAGTCGCAAAAACTTGAATTGAACATGTTAAACAAGACACAATTCGGTGGCTAATTTGTTTTTTAATTCGGGCCTTTAGATTTCTGCTCTGGACCACGAGCTCATCGAGGTGGATCCTGACACAAAGGACATGCTCAAGATGCTGGTAAGTGTGAAACATATCGTTCTGCTTTCTTCGTGACGGGTATAACTTTTTGTTCTGCAGATTCTCGCTGTTGTTAAAATTCCAGAGAGATTTTGACTTTTAAAACCAAATCAAGTTATGTACTGAGCTTGTAAATAAAGAAAGATTACTACATTCAGATAAAAACACATACACATTTGTAGAAATAAAAAAAGGGGCAAAACCCTCATGAAAGAATAGGCGACTAGAACAGGTGTAACTTATTACGTTACTGATAGGTGTTTAAGGTTGGGTATTAAGCCGTCATAAATACTACTCATAAACAAAGAAATGAATCGCTAAAAGCTGCACCTGTGTTTAAAGAATTGAAGCTTTACCAGCCAACTGAGAACATCAATGTGCTAAGAACTTTTTTAACAAGATTGCAAAATTAAATCTGCACACATGTCTTGTGAAGGTCTTCACTCTGTGGATGCTGCAGACAGCTTTTAGATCAACTGTCTCAAGGTTTCCTTATCAACAGGGTTTTTAATGTAAAATATTATATAAATAGCAGTTACTGAAGAAGTAACTGCACATTAATATAACCTTTTTAAAGGCAATTTATTAAGTGTGAGCCATTCAAATAGTCCACATGAGTCATGCATTAATTAAGTATATGTTGTGTTCCCTTATTATAAAGGTTTTGCCATATAAATAACCCTGTGGTGATGTATACATATTCCCAAATCATGAATTTATTTTTCTTCCTCTTGCAGGATTTCGGTGGCCTCTCCAACCTTCAAGTCACTCAGCCAACTATTGGAATGAACTTCAAAACTCCACGAGGAATGTAATCATGTTGAATAAACCTTGTGATAAATAGACTTAATTGTTAAAATGTGTCTTTTTTTCTTCTTTTCTTTGTTTTAAAGCAATGAGTGATTAATATCTCCTAAATGATGCATGAACTGCAAAACGAAAATGTTTTTCATGAGCTAGATAGTATGCTTACAGCAAAGCAGTGTCAAAATGATTAAAGTAATTGGATCGACACAGGGATATTATATTTGGGAAGAGACGGTGTGGAACTGTCTTGCTGGAATACCTTTGAGGGAAGTAAAATGTAATGTTGAGATACAATTGGTTATTTCCCTATATTAGCTTAACCAAGATTTTAGTACTTAAGTTAGCATGTATAGAGTGTAAACATTAATCAAAGTAATTGATTCGCCATAAAAGTAACATTTTATATTAACAAGTTTCATAAACTTGTAGTTTGCTGACATAAAAATATCTTTCAAAAAGTAAGTATAGTAGAGTCCTAGGATAGTGTCCAAATATATGAAAGAAAATATGTTATAATATCTTAAAATGTGTATAAAGTCATGGTGTAGTATGTTGAAAATATAAAAAACGTAATGGCATAGTAAGTTGAAAAAAATCAGTCTAGTATGTCTAAAATGGCATGAAAAGTAATATTACAGGATGTCTAAGAAGTCATGCTAGTTGAAAAATGTAAGATGATTCATACTATACGATAGGGCTGCACGATATTGCAAAAAAACTATTGTCACAACACGATATATCGTGCAGTCCTACTATACGCGATGTCAAAAACATGACAGCCAATGAAATTCATAGCATCCTATGCCAAATATATCACTAAAAAGTCATAGTATTCTATTTTTAAAATATTAAAGGTCACCTACTGTATCATGCTATTTTTAGGCAATAGCATAGGTCTCAGATATATAAAAAACATGTCTATAAAGTGTTTTGGTCAAAAAAACAAACGGATCACCCAATCTAGCCATGCCTCATGTCCCTCTATTTCTCTTCCTGTTCCAAAAGTGCTGATTCTGGGTATAAACAGGTCTCTTGAGAATGAGACGCTGGGTGTTTCTCTATGTCAAGGATGCTTCCTTGGTAGGACATGTCTTCCGAGTCAGGTCCTTCAGAGGCTAGGCAAGAATCCTTCCTGGCATTTGAGGAAAGAATAATGGAACAGACTAGCAGGTGTGCGTCATATGAGAGGCCCCGGCGCGGCCGCCCCGCCTTAAATTGGGCGTGATTTGTTTGAAGACTCATAACTGATTTGCGAAGATCGAAGATGTATTTGAGTAACTTTATGTTGTAAAATTATCATCTCTCCAGGACAGAACCACTAAACTGACACAAAACGTTCTCCTTCTGTGTGCAGCCTTGAAAAAGTCCTGGAAGATAAGCAGACATAAGAAAATCATAAAATCACCATCACCAATCAATAATCCAATTCTATTCAGATATCATACTTGATGTCTGCAAACGTGTACACATATTGGTGCACATTGTAGCATAAACCACAAATATCAACTAAAGAGGCAAAGTCAAAACAAGGCTCATTTAAATTATTTATCTAGGTGCAAAACGCTCTAAAGTCTCATTCAAACCTAATAGTCCGCTTCTCTGGTGCGCCCCAGACAAGAGTTTGTTACATTGTTTCATTGTTCAGAAGGTTCGGTTTGCGTTCACATGGGCAAAACTCATGGCAAAACTCAAACGGACTATAAACTTTAAACACAAGTCATTAGCACATTTACTACGCCACTGAACATACTTCCATTTAAATGTGTACTGCCTGCATTCAGCCATTTTCCGCAAAATATTTGGGAAATTGGTCCGTGCGCAAAGCGTTGTTGTGGGGCTTTTAACCCTTAGATCAGGGGTGGGGAACCTCCGGCCCCGGGCCGTATACGGCCCGCGAAACTATTTGGTATGCCCCTCGAGGTAATTTATAAAGACACGCAAAAAAGAAAAAAAATTAAAGAAATCTAGACCGCAAACAAATTAAACAAGCGAGTGCCTGTTTTTCCTGGCCAAGGTCAGGGTCCTTGAACACAACACG